AATGTGCTTTACACAATTGATGTGTGTATGGATTGGGATAACAGTTGTATGAGCCCCTAATAAAATGTTAAAAAAAAAAAAGAACATGTGGGATTAATCAGGTCACAGTTTGATTGGAGGGCAAAGAGATAAATGGCTCTGCAAGGCCCACCCCCCTCTTTCTTGCTCTCTGGTGATCAGAGGGTGCTGGAGCTGCTGCTGCTTTAGCTAGTTCTCACTCAACCTATGAGTTACACGACCTGTGGGCCAAGCCAACCTATGGATCTTGTTGCTAGAGCTTGAGGCTCCTTTGAGACCAGCTTCACCACACTGCTTACATTGCTTGAGCTTGAAGTTGGTGGATCCTGTCACCTTGCATTGCTTGCTTTTGATATCCCATCTGGGCCTGCTTCACTAAGCTCCTGAGCTATCGGTTACCCACCCTGCTATTTGCTGCCTGTGGGCAGACTCTGCTTGCCTTGCGCAAGGGAGGAGCCCACTGTGTGCTTCCTTGACCTTGGATCTGGCATCCCTGTGAGTTGAAGGACTTTCAGTATATTAACTATTGTACGGAAGTGAGTTGAACTGACTATGGTAGCTGTTTATTCCTTCTCACTGTATATATATACTGTATATATATAAAATATACTATGTATATATGTATATATATAAATAAAATCATTAAATGTCCTGGTTTTGTTTCTCTAGAGAACCCTGCCTAACACAGTGACTTTCCTCATGCATTCTGCTCTAGCCATGCATTCTGACCTCCTTCCTGATCTTCAAACAGGCCAGGTATGTTCCCATGTTAGGGCTTTTGCACGTGCTAGACCCTCACCTTGAACACATCTGCCAGAGAACCACGTGGTTTGCTGCCCCACTCCTGGTCACCGAACCCTTACCTGACCATACAATTTAGAATTGCTCCCCTAGTCGCACCCCATTGGGTTCTATGACCTTCCTGGCTCTGTGTTTCTCCATAAAGCTTTACTCTTCTATTTGTATGTCTTTGATTATGATCCTCATAATATAATATCCGATGAAAATGTAGGCTTTGTGAAGATAGTAAACTTTATTTTGTTCAGTGGCAGTTTAGTACCCAGAGCAGTTTGCCATGTGAGGTATCAAGTAAGTGAATAAATTGCTGGGGGTCTTCTAGGCTGCTTCAACAAATCTGTTATAAGCATTTAAAACAAATTAAGTTTTGAAAAATGCTAATAGCCCACTTCTGTGTAGGTGCTTATAACATTTGATACAATAATTCCTCTCTGGAAATTACTATTATCCCCACTCACTTATCATCCTAAGGAAGGAGCTCCAGTGGCATAGTGGGTTACAAGTTGCGCTGCCAACCGCAAGTTCAGCAGTTGGAGTCCATCAGCCACCCTGTTGGGGAAAGCAGAGGCTTTCTGCTTCCATAGGGATTTACAGTCTTGAAAACCCTAGGGAGCAGTTCTACTTTCGCCCGTTGGGTCACTATGAGTCCGAAACGACTTGATGGCATTGGGTTGAGTTTGGTTTGGGGTCCTCCTAAGCAGGTAGTCTGGGAGCCTTGGTAGCATAGTGGGTTATAAGTTGGGCCGCTAACTGGAAAGGTCAGCAGTTTGAAACCACTCGGAAAGGCTCATCTTTCGGATGAGTAGAAAGATGGGGCTTTCTACTTCAGTAAAGTTACAGTCAGGGACTCAACAGGCCCAGTTCTACTGCACCCCACGGGGCTGCTGTGAGTCAGAATTGACTGGGTGGCACTGAGTCCACCCTGACCCGAGTGATCCCGTGCAGCTGTGGGTTTTGGAGACTACACCTCTTTACAGGAGCGGAAACATCCTCATCGTGCCCCCGCGAAGCCGCCGGTGGTTTCGAACTACTGACCTTGCGGTTAGCAGCCCAACTTGTAACTTGCTCCCAGGGCTCCTTGCCAGGCCTTTGGGTACAACAAATCTCATCCCGTCACCAAGGCGCCCGCTCACCTGGTTCTCGCGCCCCTTTCTCTGCAGTGTCTGAAAGACCTCACCTTTCAAAGCCTCCTGAACGTATTTCTCCAAGTAGTGTTTCCGCAGGCCGTCATTTTCCAGCGCGCTGTCATCGATGCCGTTGGCCGTGATGTAGACATCCAAGTCCCCGTAGTGCTCCCGGACCCACCTGAGCACCTTGCGCAGGCCTCCGGGCATCACGGCCAGGCGCGTGGGCGAGCTCAGGCAGGTGACGTCCTGCAGGAACTGCACGTCGCGGTCCGCCTCGTAGCCGCTGCCGTGCAGGCGCTGGGGCATCACCAGCCTGGTGGTGAAGTGGTTGAGCGCGTAGAAGTCGGCCGCGCCGCGGACCAGCCTCCTCTCCTCAGCCGAGAAGCGCGGCAGCGCGGAGCGCGAGAGCCCGTGGCGGCGCTTGGAGGCGATGTACTCCCGCATGGCCGCCGGGTAGTCCCCGGTCTTGAAGACGGGCTCGGCGAACCAGGCGATTTCGAACTGGAGGAACCGCTCGGCCGCTTGCCGGTGCGACTCGGCGAACGGGTTGGCCGGCTCCACCCAGTCCGAGTGCAGGGACAGCGACACGGCCCCGCGCTGCGACGGCCGGTACTGGCGGTCATAGAGGCGCCAGGCCCGGGCGTGGGCCAGCAGCAGGTTGTGCGCAGCCCGGTACGTGTCGTTACTGGTGCGGTTGTAGACGTCACTCAGGCGGTTCGGCTCGTTGATGGTGATCCAGACCTTGACCAGGTCGCCCAGCTCGCGGAAGCACAGGCCCGCGTAGTCCCGGAAGGCCTGCGCCGTGGTGGCGTTCAGCCATCCGCCACCCTGCAGCAGGGGCGCGGGGAGTCCCAGGCGGGCGTGGGTGGGGTAGTACAGCGTGACCATCGGGGAGATGTTGACCTTCAGCCCCTCGCTGGCCACACACCTATAGTACCTCAGAGCCGGCCGGTTCACCGTGGCCAGGTCGCCAGCCGGGAGGATGGAGGCCCAGTCCAGAGCAAACCTGTAGTGGGTGACCTTCATTCTGGTCAGCATCTCCAGCTGCTTTTTGATGCTGACAAAATCTGTGCACTGAGCTTGCCGAGTCTTCAGCTGCACGCCGTCCACTCTGTGCAGCAGCCGGTTGCCGCTCACGTTCCACAGGTACAGGTGGGGGTCGTTGAACTGCGGGGAGGAGGCCACCGACTCGGGCTGGGGGAACAAGCAGAGTCAGGTCAGGGTGGCCCGGCTGGCCAGGCTTGCAGGGTGCCCCGTGGAACAGGTGCCTCTCCGGACAAGAAAATAAGTAACTAAACAGACAAACGATGCTTTAACCAACGACTCTTCACAGGGTGATGCCAAGGAAAAGGTTCTGATGAATTACTCTCCTTCCAGCCCTTGAAATCTCCCAGAGAGACCAGAAAACACTGAGAAGGAACCACACCCAGGAATTGGCTGGGAACACAAGTTATTTCAGAAAACTTGACGAGCTGTTTTCCCACTTGTTGGTCCCACACACCCAGCTGTCGAGGAAGGGCCTCAACAGGACGGATTGGCACAGTGGCTGCACCAATGGGCTCAAGCACAGGGACCAATTGGGAGGGCGACACAGGACCTGGCAGCATTTCATTCTGTTGTGCAGAGGGCAGCGATGGGTTGGGACCCACTCAGTGGAACCTAACCACAACACGCCCAGTTTACACGGCAGAGTGGCGCCTCAAGGGCTTCAGTTCCCCTGATCAGGAAGTAAGAGGATTCGTCAAAGCTGGATCAGCTCAGTGCTGCCCTGCCGAGAATGGTGACAGCGTGCAAGGCCAGGGGTGGAGGACTCGAGTTCCTAAAAGAGGCCAATGGGCTGCGGTAGAGAAGAAATCCTTGCCCTCTTTGGAACTGCTCCAGGGATAGCACACGGCCTCCAGGGGCTACAGACACCCACCACCACGTGCCTGTGAGGCCATGGCATCTATTCCTCCCACTGGAGAGTAACAGCAAGTTCTTTTTGGAAGATACTTTGACTAATGAGTGGACAGGACGGTAAACGTTCCCTGGACTCCCAAGGTTGATTCAGGTTGCTGTCCAGTTCTCTACCCTGCGCCCAGGAGAGAGCCCGGGCCCGGCCAGAGAGCCCAGAGGGCTGGACTCCTGTTCTAATGCAGCTCCTTTCAGCCTCAGGCTGGGCAACTCCACCAAGAAGCAGCTCTGTCTCCCTCACGGGTGTGCTGTGAGGGCTCAGTGACTCTAGGAAACTGTCAAGTCTGAAAAAAAAAAAACCCAAAAATCAAAACCCCAAATCAAACTCACTACTATCGAGTTGATTCTGACACAAAGCAACTGTGTAGGCCAGGGTAGATCTGCCCCTGTGGGTTTTGGAGACTAACTCTTTTTTTTCCAATAATGTTATTGGGGGCTCATACAACTCTTAGCATAATCCATCCATCCATCGTGTTAAGCACATTTGTACATTTGTTGCCATCATCATTCTCAAAACATTTGCTTTCTACTTGAGCCCTTGGTATCAGCTCCTCATTTTCCCCGCTCCCTTCCCGCTCCCCTCTCCCTCATGGGCCCTTGATAATTTATAAATTATTATTATTTTGTCATATCTTACACAGTCTGATGTCTCCCTTCACCCACTTTTCTGTTGTCTGTCCCCCAGGGAGGAGGTCACATGTAGATCCTTGTAATCGGTTCCCTCTTTCTATCCCACCCTCCCTCCACGCTCCCAGTATTGCCACTCTCAGCACTGGTCCTGAAGGGATCATCTGTCCTGTATTCCCTGTGTTTCCAGTTCCTATCTGTACCACTGTACATCCTCTGGTCTAGCCAGATTTGTAAGGTAGAATTGGGATCATGATAAGCGGGAGCGGGGGCGGAGCATTTAAGAACTAGAGGAAAGTTGTACGTTTCATTATTGCTACATGGCCCCAGGACTGGCTCGGGAGACTAACTCTCTCAGGCAGTGGTTCTCAACTTTCCTGCTGCTGCAACCCCTTCATACAGTTCCTCATGTTGTGGTGACCCCCAACCATAAAGTTATTTTTGTTGCTACTTCACAACTGTCAATTTGCTACTGTTATGAATCAGTTGACCTCTGTGAAAGGTTGAGAACTGCTGGTCTAGAGGAATAGAAAACCTCATCTTTCTCCCAGGGAGCTGTTGGTGGTTTTAAACTGTTGACCTTGTGGTCAGCAGCCCAACACATAAGCACTTCACTGCCAGGGCTCCTTGTCGACCCTGAAGCACTCTATGAGCCACACATACCGGTGACTCCGGATTCGGTTTTCCTCTGCTGCCACAATTGCCTACCAGGCCCTTGAGTCTAAAAGAGCTTAAGAAAATTGTCTAAATTCAGGATAAACTTGGGAAAGTCAAAATCTGTGCTTTCTTTAAAGGCTTCTTTTTCCTCCTAGGACTGAATTTAAGTGCATGGGTTGGGAGGGAGTAAGAGAGGGATAATTAACCTTTGGTAAATATTTTTCCTCTAATTGTTTTATGCCTTCTTTCATAGGCTAATTACAAAACCATATCACTGCCCACTTGCCATCTGTCCACCAGTTAAGTAGAACATTAAGCAGAGAGAGCATTGATCATGTGAGCATGAAGCAAAATCTGTATACAATTAATTATTTGAGTAAAATCTTTATAGCCTAGATGACGTTTCAGTGTTTTGAAAGCACAGAGCATTGTGGTATTGAAAGAGTGTTTACAAAAGGCACTCTTGCCCCTTAGATCTGTCTCTGAGTGCCTTAGTAAGCGAGGCAAAACCCCGATAGACATCTGCATTACTCTGAGAGTCCTCGTGAGAGAGAGCATGCACCTCAGGGGCGCATGGATGAGTCTGCCAGGGGTCTGGTTAAAGAAGCCATCTTCTCCACCCCTAAACATAAGGACTTTCAGAATGTTGAAAGGGAGTGCCGAGGGCTTGATCCTAAATAATCTTGCCCACTAGAGGGATCCAAGGCTCCTGTGAGAATTATGCTTTTTCCAAGTCTAAGGTAGGCAAAGAATGATGTTATCCTGGGACATATTGTGTCAGAAAATAAGAAAATTCTTAAAAACAGAAAGGAAAATGCAAAACAGGCGGGAACAGCTTAAAAGGGGCTATTGGCCAAATTTGAGACAACTAGAGCATCAAAAAGAACATTGAAATAATAATAAGTTAGAATGCATGGAGTTAAAATAACCCATGAACTCATAGTGCCATTCAAATTTTTTTACATAGAAAGGGGAGAAAAGTGTTTCTTTATAATCAATACCAAACTAATACTCTAACTGCATGTTCTAGTTAGGAATAATTAGTAAGAGATCTGTCATTTTTTAATCAACAGTATAACAATGGGGTCTGACAGACTTGGAGAAGACATGTTAAAAGCATTGGGTAACCTTCCCCTGAAAACAAAACAAACAAACAAAAAGAAACCATTGGGTAAAATGCTGTCTGGAAGCAAGGCCATCACACGGTCTCAAAATGTTACCATCAGATTATTTCTTCATTACAGATGGAAAGGTATCTTTCATTGAAGTAAGCTTAAAAATGCCACTTCATTCACACTAATGTTTCCAGTCATGAAATAACACGTACCATGTGCCTCCTGGTGTTATGTTCTGGGAGATAGAGCATCATCTGGTATTGTTTGAATTGTGCCCCTAAGCCCAAATATGTACTGTAAATCCTAACCACCTGCCTGCAGGACGGGGCAATGTTCACCCTGTTGTATAGGGGTATGTACTATGGATCGGAACCGATTCGGCTGGCATGTAAGAACATACCTGAAGTTACAAATCCATTTGTATGCTTGGTTACCCTAATGAGGCTTTATTAGTGCAGGGCCTGCCTTAAATCAGGCTTTTTTTTTCATATTTGACAAGAACAGATTGAGAAAGCAGCACGCAAGTAGAAAAGGGAGAAGATAGCTGCACAGTCCCGTGATGATTTTGAGGAAGAGAAGCTCCAGAGAGACGGGCCTTTCTCCAGCTCTGGCTGGCAGAGAGAAGGCTTCCTCTGTGAGCTGGAAGTGACAGGAGGGCAGTGAGGTGGGAGCTGGGTAGAGCCAGCAACACGCATGCAGACTTTTCCTATCCTACCTGTGAGAGAATGAATGTGGTTATCAAAGCGTCCCGCTTGTGCTGTTTCTGCTATAGCGGCACTAGATAACTAAGACGTCTGTTTAGTATTTTTTCAAGGAAAACACATAACTAAATCCAATTTTTAAAAAAGCAATTAGAGTGACCCAGAGGATTCTACAATCGGCTGGCTTGGCCTCTCAAACACATTTGTCTGTTCATTTGGGGGATTGCTCTGAATCAAAGGAGGCTTGAGCCTGGTGCTATCCAGAAGGGTTTCAGCGGCTAATTCCTCAGAAGGGGACAGCCTGGTCCTGCTTCTCAGTCTGGCCTTTGCCTGGAAGCTCTGCTGATACCGGTGCGGTTCCCTTGGGGTGAGCCTGCTGGTGTCTGAAATACCCGTGACACAGTTTCCAGCATCCTGGTAACACATACGTCACCTCAGTATGACAAACTGACCGACCAGTGGTCTGTCGAGAGATGAAATGATGCATTGCTTTGGGTCAATCTGCTGCATAAGACCTCTTTAAAATATTGAAAAGCAAAGACACTACTTTGAGGATTGATGTGCACCTGACCCAAGTCATGGTGTTTTATCATCTCATATGCATGTGAAAGTTTAAATATGAAAGAAAAAAAAAGACTTGATGCATTTGAATTATGGTACTGGTGAAGAATATTGAAAGTACATGGACTGCCAAGAGAACAACAGGGATGTCTTGGAAGAAGTACAGCCAGGATGCTTCTTGGAGGTGAGGATAGCGAAACTTCATCTCATGTACTTTGGAGCGACCAGTCCTTGGAGAAGGACATCGTGCTTGGTAAATGAGAGGGGCAGCAAAAAGGAGGAAGCTAGGGGCATATGAGATAGAGATGTGAAGGGGATAGGCATGGTGTTATATCTGTGCAATTCTATATGCATGTGTATATAGATTCTATGCATATATACATGTATTTATGTATATATATACATGTATACATTTTATGGCATTAGCAAACAAATCAGTTCTCTCACCCATATCTATTCTTGTAGTCAGGAGGCTAGAAGTCTGGACTCAGGATGCCAGATCTAGGAGAAAGTGGCTTTCTTTCTCTGTCAGCTCCATGGGAAGGTCACTTTTCAACATCAATGTGCCTGGCAATCTTGGAGATACGCAGGCATCTTGGCTTTAGTCTTCCACTGGGTCTAGGAGGTTCTCAGCCCAGGGACCCCAGGTCCAAAAGACATGCTGTGCTTCTGGGTCCTTTTTCCTGGTGGTACTAAGGCATTCCTCAGTTGGGTAATATTTCTAAATGTTTGCCAACCTCCCTACAGGTGACTGCTTTGTTGTTTTTGTTGTTGTTGTTGCTGTTCTTTGTCTATGCAACATCTACCCATACAGCTTCTGGCAACAGCAGCCTGATTTTTTCTTGGCAAACTAATTGCCTTAGTTATCTAGTGCTGCTACAGTAGAAAAACCACAAGTGGAGGAAAAAGCGGGAGAACCTTGATGAGATGGACTGACACAGGGACTGCAACGATGGGCATGAGAACAATTGGGAAATTCGGCTGGACCAGAGCTTGAAACCCAGGGAATCCAGGACAGATAAACCCTTCAAGACCAATAATGAGAGTAGCGATACCAGGAGGGAAAGGAGAAGGTGAGGGAGAAAGGGGGAACTAATCACAAGGATCTACATTTCGCCCCCTCCCTGGGGGACGGACAACAGAAAAGTGGGTGAGACGTCGGACAGTCTAAGATATGATAAAATAAAATAATAATAAATTATCAAGGGTCTGTGAGGGAGGGGAAAAATGAACTGATACCAAGTGCTCAAGTAGAAAGACAATGCTTTGAGAATGATGATGGCAACAAATGTAGAAATGTGCTTGACACAATGGATGCATGTATGGATTGTGATAAGAGTTGAACACCCAATAAAATTATTTAAAAAAGAAAAAGAGCCCTTGGGAAGCTGGAGCCAGTGTCTGGTTCTGTTGCCCACAGGGTTACTATGAATCAGAACTGCCTTGATATCTAACAACAACAATAAGGCCTCATTGAGGTCTAAAACTTGTCACACTCATCCCTATGTTTGAGCACCTACCTGACAAGTCTCTAGAAGGGGAGATAGCTGACTACAGAGCCCCCTGCTCTGTCCTTGTCCATGCTGAATTCCGCTAGGGGAAGACAGGTGATAAATAGGAAAGATGTGTAACGTATAGAGTGGATGTGGACCACCCAAAAAGGAGAGCAGGGAAAGGGCTAAGAATGTGGTCCTGATTTTTTGGAGTGGAGAAAGCCTTTCTGAGTACATGACAATTGAATAACATCTGAAGAGGGTAAGGAATGAGGCGCACAGAGGGGCTGCCCCTGGGATACACGCCCAGGAGGAAGACACCTCCTAAAGTAAGTCCCCCAGATCTATGACATGAAAAACATCTCCAGTCAGAGGCTGCTCATATTGGCTCTTGGTATAACAGAATTTATCATCTTCTTCTCCCTTTAACTTGGACACTGCTAACACATGCCTCACACAGAAATGCCTGTATGATCTGCTAGACCAGGGGTCTCAACCTGTGGGTCACAACCTCTTTGGGGTCAAATGACCCTTTCACAGGGGTCTCGATTCATAACAGTAGCAAAAGCAATGAAAATAATGTTATGGCTGGGGGATCACCACATGAGGAACTGTATGACAGGGTGGTGGCATGAGGAAGGTTGAGAACCACTGCCATCGATGGTATGCTTCCTGAACACAGCCTCCTCCTCTCTAAATTCCCATCACCAACCCTAAGTTCTGACACATCAAAGGCCCTCCTAACCCCAACCAAACCGTTTGCCACGGAGGCACTGCTGACTCATGGTTTTCACCGGGGTGCAGAGCAGACCTGGGCGCATATGGTTTCTGCTGAGGTGCTTCTGGGAGGGTCCGACACACCAAGCTTTCTGCTCATCGTGGAGTGGTTCACTGCGTGGGCGACTCAGGGGTCCCTGAGGGCCACTAACCCCACGGCCTTTGCCTCAGTTCTCCCTCCCAGGGACCCTGTAACTCTCTCCGGGAGCAGGCAGCCACATCGGCCTGCAGTAGCTGGTGGGTTTCACGCTCCAACCTCACGCAGGAGGTAAGCCCAGCGTTTGCTTCATGGTGTCGCCCGCATTTTTAAAAGGCCCTCAAAACCACACCAAGTTCACTGCCATTGAGTCCACCCTGACCCCTGGCAACCTTAGAGGACGGAGTCAAAGGGCCCCTGTGTGTTTTCAAGACGGCAGCTCTTGGTGGGAGGAGAAAGCCTCCTCTCACCACCACACCGCCAGGCCTCTGAGACTCTCCATGAAGGTTAATCTCCTCTTCCGCTTTGATACAGTTTATTTATTATTACTTGTTGGATACAGTTTCTTAGCTAGCATTGAGAAAAGGAAATTTTATTTTATTTTTATTTATTTAAAAAAAATCATTTTATTGGGGGCTCGTACAATTTCCATCACAATCCATACATACATCCATTGTGTCAAACACATATGTACATTTGTTGTCATCATCATTCTCAAAACACTTGCCTTCCACCTGAGCCCTTAATATCGGCTACTCATTTTCCCCCCTGCCTCCCCACTCCCCCCTTCCTCATGAACCCTTCATAATTCACAAATTATTATTATTTTGTCATATGTTACACTCTGACGACTCCCCCGCCCCTTCTCTGCTGTCCATCCCCCAGGGAGGAGGTTATACATAGATTCTTGTAGTCGGTTCCCCCTTTATGCCCCACATTCCCTCCACCCTCCAGGCCTTGCCACTCTCACCACTGGTCCTGAAGGGGTCATCTGTCCTGGATTCCCTGTGTTTCCAGTTCCTATCTGTACCAGTGTACATCCTCTGGTCTGGCCAGGTTTGTAAGGTAGAATTGGGATCATGATAGTGGGGTGGGGGGAGGAAGCATTTAAGAACTAGAGGAAAGTTATATGTTTCATTGTTGCTACCCTGCACCCTGACTGGCTCATCTCCTTCCCACAAACCTTCAGTAAGGGGGTGTCCAGTTGCCTACCGATGGGCTTTGAGTCTCCACTCTGCACTCATTCACATCTACAATGATATGATTGAGAAAAGGAAATTTAAAAAACCCATGTGCTGTGGACTATGAGTCAAGGATGACATGACTTCGTCTCACATGCTTTGTACATGTTATCAGGAGAGTCCGGCCCCTGGAAAAGCAGATGGGCAGGAACAAGGAGGCAGACCTTGCAGAAATGGACAAACACGCTGGCTGCCACGCTGGGTTCACCTGTAACACGTAACACGTGTGAGGCAGCGCAGGGCCCAGGCGAGTCTCTCTCAGTTGTCAGACGACCCGAGGGCACGGAACAACGGCATGTTTGAGTGTCGCAGTTCGCAGTGAATTCGTAAGCAGTCACTCACCTTAAGCACAGAGTCGGTGACGCCCCAGGAGAAGTCGCAGGGAAACTGCCCTTGCACGTCTGGTGCGGACTCTCTCAGAAGGAAACCGTTTTCTCGGATGATCTGTCTGTAGTAATGCGCGGAAGTCTTGGGCTGTCTTTCTTTTTCCTTGCTGTTAAAATCCACGTAAAAGAGTCCTCGGCGGGTGTGGTAAGCGTCCTGCCATTCGAAGCCATCCAGGAGAGACCAGGCCGTGTAGCCAAACACGCGAATCCCATCAAACCGTATTGCTGCACGGAGAAGAGGAGGCAGGGGTCATGGCAGGCTACCACTTGGCTCCTGCTGAGGGCTCCCTGACAGCAGGCCAAGAAGCAGGATAGGTGAGACCAGCCTCCTTCCTAATGTGTGGGGCCGTGAGCACTGGTGTAGTCACTAGGGGCATGGAGAGGGGTGCAGGCGGCACCAGGTGACGCTGTCATGTGGTCTATACAATTTGTGTGCAGTTACAGCATACCAGTATGAAGAAGGGGGGAAATGGGGTGGGGGAGAAGGGAAAAAAGGGAGGGGGAAACGAAGGCATTGGGGGAAGGGGGCACTAATCCACCACAGGGAGGGTACTGTTTATGCCTCCACAGGAAAGGGAGAGAGAGACCAGACCTCAACCTGGTGTGCCAAGCCTTGAACGCAACATACCGGCATGAAGCAGTGAACTAACAGGTCTGTGGGGTCAGGCCCTATCCCGGCTACTTCGACCCCACTCCCCAGAAGAATGCACTACAGAGGACAGCACTGAAGATACAGCCCAGGGAGAGGGATAGGTCTGCCCAGAGCACACAGGAGCAAGCTAAGAGGGAAAGAGAGAGATAGCAGACAGCCTCCTGACCTACCAAGCTTTGAGGATGACACTGCTGCTCAGAGTAGCCAGTACACGGAGAGGACCGTAGGGTCAGCTTCACCACAAAACACGACGTCCCCTTACTGACCCACATTGCTATGGGGGCAGCATCGGAGACACAGTGTGGGAATTGTGCCCAGTCTGATGACCCCACACCAGGTGTAACACAAAGGGAACGCAACAGAGCAACGAGGGGAGCAAAGCAACAAAGTTCCTGAGGAATCCTGAAACTAGACTGCAGACTCGGGGAGCCGGGCTTGGCCCTGCGTCAGAACCGATTGGAAAACATTCATAAGGGTAAGCAGACAGACTTTTTCATAGGCTATTTTTTGTTTTTCTTTATTTTTTTCATGCCTACATAACACAGGCAGGATAAACAATCCTGAGGAGAAAACAATGGGGCCAATTGCTCTAGAATCTAGGGAGAAAGGGAGGAGGTGGGAGAGAGGGAGAGGGAGAAAACAAACCCAGGGACAAGGGAACAAAAGAGATCTAAAACAGATGGTGAGGAGGGCATAGAATGTCTGGTGGGGTTCGATCAAGTGCAATGTAGCCGAGAGGAAGTACAGAGAGAGAGCTGATGAAGGTTGAACATGATAGTGGGACAGGAGGAAAGTAAAAGGAAATAGAGGAAAGAACTAGGGAACAAAAGACATTTATAAAGGTATAAACATAGCCATGTACATATGTAAATGTATTAATATATAATGATAGGGCTATAGGTCTATGTATATATATTTATTGGTTAAGTATTAAGGTAGCAGATGGACCTCTACTCAAGTCCTCCCGCAATGCAAGAACACTTTGTTCTAATAACCTGGCATTCTGTGATGCTCACCTTCCCAACAAGATTGCTGAAGACAAAATGGGTGCATAAGCTAATGTGGTGAAGAAAGCTGCTGGTGCCCAGCTATTAGAAGATATAACGTCTGGGGTCTTAAAGACTTGAAGTTAAACAAAGGGCCATCTATCAGGGGAGCAACAAAGCCCACATGGAACAAGCACACCAACCCATGTGATCACAAGGTGTTGATGAGATCAGTATCAGGCATCAGAAAACCCAAAACAAAAAACCACTTGGATGCGAAAGAGGGGGGTCAGAATGGAGACCCAAAGCCTATCTGTAGACAATTTGACATCCCCTCACAGAAGAGTCACAAGGAAGGACAAGCCAGTCAGGATGCAGTATAGCATCAGCGAAACACACAACATTCCTCTAGTTCTTTAATGCTTCCTCTCCCCCGTCCACCAATATCATGACCCTGGTTCTATCTTACAAATCTGGCTAGACCAGAGCATGTACACTGGTACAGATAAAATCTCTCAACACAGGGAATCCAAGACAGATAAACCCCTCGGGACCAATAAGAGTATTGATACCAGCAGGGTAGGGGGAAAGTTGGGGGAAAGAGAGAGAAAGGGGGAACCGATTGCATGTATAAACACCCCAGGAGGACGAACAACAGAAACGTGGGTGAAAGGAGACAATGGATGGTGTAAAATATGAAAATAAAAATAATTTATATATTATCAAGGGTTCAGGAGTTGGGGAGGGAGGGGAAAAAAGAGGAGTTGATACCAAGGGCTCAAGTAGAAAGAAAATGTTTTGGAAATGATGATGGCAACATATACACAAATGTGCTTGATATAATTGATGTATGGATATTATAAGAGCTGTAAAAGCCCCCAATAAAATGATTTATTAAATTAAAAAACATTTGTGTACAGTATTTCAGCAGAAATTTTAAATTTCTTAATACAATCACCCCTGTAACTTATTTATAACAGCAAAAACATTTCTCCTTACTCAGGGAACCTGGTGGTTTTTGAACCACCAGCCTTGCAGAGTGCAGCCCAACACATAACCACTCCGCTACCTGGGCTCATGACAACAAAAGCATTTTTTTAATACTGTATCTATAAGGCTAAGAAACTCTATGCTGATGCACTCCGGTCCGCGCTGTCATTATCACCCAATGACAGTGATACTTGGAGTCACGTGGTTATGGTCTCCCACCGCGTCTGGTGGGTTCCAACTGAGGACCTTGCAGTTCCAGCCCAGTGGGAACCACTACACCACCAAACTCTAAAACCAAACTCGCTGCCATTGAGTGGATAACGGCGCATAGCGACTCTGAGTTTCTGAGACTGTAACTGTCTAGGAGAGCAGAGGGCCCGGTTTTTCTGCCGCGGAGCTGGCTGCTGGTGGCTTCTAACCGCCTTTAACCTTGCAGATCCACCGGGGCAGTGGTTTCTTTGACACTGCCCCTCCCCCCTTTTAAATAGATGCTGATTCTGTCAGATTTTCTGGTGTTTTATCTTTAACTTTATTTGTAAACCTGTATCAGTGATTTCTTTGAAAGTGAAGTAGTTATTAAAGGAAGGGAAGTAAAAAATTCAAAAAGGGCTTCTGCCCAGTGACTACTAATGTTGTAATTCAATGTAGAAAGATTTTATAAAGCCATTCTGTTGTTAGTATTCAGATACTCTAAGAAACACTACATTTAAACAATTTGCAACTATATTTATCCCATGTTACTCTATGATTAAAGTTAATTATAAGCGTAAGTCAGGATTCCGTAGGTCTGGTATTGGAGGAGGTCCACGGGGCTGGGGGACACGGACCCCAGTGACACCACTGCCATTATGTCACATGAGTGGCAGCTCTTTTTATCCAAAGGTACCCCTAACAAGGAAGCGGTGCAGTTAAAAGTCCGCACATGTCCTTGAATCTTAGTGTGCTGCTCTGTGTCAGGAGCATGGTGATTTCTAGAACCCTGTGGGACCCCTTCTCAAGTCTGCTTGGATAGGCTCCCACCTGTGGACAATCCACTCTCGGAAACCATCCTCCAGGGACTTAACAATTAGCTTTTGCATTTAACATAAATTAACACAACTCTACTGAGCAGGAAAACACCCATGATGCAAGACATTAAGCACTGGGCTGAGGGGCCGGAGGCCTGAGGATGGCTCTGCTCTATTCCTGGGAGGGGTCTATTGGGCAAGTTTCTTGGCCTGATTTTTCTCACTTGTGAACAGAAACAGTTGGAAAAAATAATCTCGGAGGACATTTTTAGCTTTAAAACTCTGATTCAACCACTTCGAGGAATTGGGTAAAAATAAAATAGGAATATCAGTAGCAGCAATAAAATAAGTGTGCAAGTCAACCTTTGTTATGAATTGAATTTTGTCCCTCCTAAAATATGTGCTGTAAATCCTAACCTCATGCCTGTGGTTATAGGAGTCCGGGCGATGTAGGAGGGAGTCCTGGTAGCTTAGTGGTTATGAGTTTGGGCTGTGATCCACAAGGGCAGCAGTTCAAAACCACCAGCAGCTCTTTGGAAAAAGACCAGGCTTTCTACTCTGGGAAAAAGTTAGTCTCCGATGTTTTGAGAATGATGAGGGCAATGAATGTATAAATGTGCTTTACACAATTGATGTATGTATGGATTGTCATAAGAGTTGTATGAGCCCGTAATGAAACGGTTTAAAAAAAAAAGTTAGTCTCCGAAACTGAGGGGCATCATGTGGTAGGGTCACTATGAGTCAGTATTGACTTGATGGCAGTGAGTTTTTATTTATTTTTTTAATGTTACTTTTCCCCGTAGTGTAGCGGGCTGCAAAGAGACAAAAAAACCCCACAAGGTCAGTAGTTCAAAACCACCAGGCACTCCATGGGAGAAAAATGAGGCTTTCTACTCCCATAAGCAGTTACAGTCTCAGCAACCCACAGGGCCAGTTGTAGTCAGTCCTATATGGTTGATAGGAGTCTGAATTGACTCGATGGCATTTTATTTTTAGACCTGTGGTGATCATCGTACTTGGGACTGGGCTGCCTTTGTTATGCTAACGAGGCAGGGATTAGGTTCTGTGTATTTTGAGTCGACCTCTTTTGAGACATAGTGTGTGTGTGTGTGGGGTTTGAAGAAGCTAGCAGAGCACAGGCTGGGTCAGAGAGATGCTAAACCATGTGGAGATCTCCAAGAAGCAGAAGCCACAGACGCCGGAAAGATGAAGGAAGACCTTCATCATCAGAGTCAAGCGAGAGAGAAAGCCTTTCCCGAGAGCTGGCGTTCTAGTTGCCGGCTTCCCGCTTCCTAAATTGTGAGAAAATAAAGTTCTGTTGGTTAAATCAGCGGCAGATAACCGAGAGAACCGTGATTCAACGAGATGAATGTCTTAGCAGGACCTGGTTCTGGTCCCTTTGGTGAACTTGTAGGGCCCGGGAGAGGTGGGGTGGTAACACCTGGTCAATGGACTGCCCTCTGCCCAGGGGTGTGCATTTGGCCAAGAACCTGCGGGCAGTGTCCTCCTCGGGCGAACCCCACGTGCCTGCTCTGTCTGCTCTGTCGTTGGGCAGGGCTCTCGTCCAAGCTGCTCCTTCCTGCAAGTTGGGGCAGCAGGGTGATTCGCCCTGGTGATCTTTCTTACAGAACCTGGGAGTTTCCTCCAGGTGTGAGACTGGTGAAAAGCTACCGAATCTGCGCATGATCCACAGCTAGATCCTTTACCTGTGAGCGCTTGGGAGCTCGGCAGGGGCCAGAACAGCCAAACCCTGAGCTTGTCTTCTGCGCCTGATTTTCATCAGCTATCTGGAGAGGTCACTACTTGAGTAATGGACAGGAACGAGGGGGATAGGCAGAGGTCAAAACCAAAATCAAATCCAGAAGTAACAATAGCCGCTCAGGGTTGCCCGTCATGGGTCATTCATACTCCCATGAGTCAAAAGTAAAAGGATCATAATTTTGAGTTTCAGTGTCTTAAGTACGTAACAAAACCAAATTCACTGCTATTGAGTCAGTGCCAATTCACAGCGACCCAAAGGGCAGGGTAGAACTGTCCTGCGGGGTTTCTAGACTTATGGGAGTAAAAAGCCCCATCTTCCTCCCAAGGAGCCGCCGGTGGTTTTGAACCGCTAACCTTTTGGCTCTTGGCTCATAACCATCACACAGCCAGGGCTCCCCTTAGGACCCCTCAAACATTCCTCCTGGCCATCCATCATTGTCACATGCCTTTTTAAAGGCCTGAAACAAGCTCTTCCTGATACTTACGGATGTACCTGCAGCCTAAACGATGTTCTCCACAGAATATTTTCAAAGGCCCCACGGGGGTAACACGAGAACAGATGGTATCAGGCAAGACAGGCCCAAGCACGGCCACCACCACCACCACTCCCATTGAATCACACGCTCGAAGGGGACTAAAGAGCTTCCAGAACACACAGTCAAGACATTTTACAAACAGAAGCGGAGGGGCGACCCACCTTGAAGCACCTGGTTGAGGAAGTTCTTCGTCATGTAGATGGCCGTGGTATCTTCGGTCTTCACGTGACTGTCGGTGAACCAGCCGTTCTCGGTGATGAAGATTCGAGGGTCGCCGTATTCCAGCTTGATCCAGTTCAGCACTTCTCTTAAATGGAGCGACACGTTCTGCCCCATTTTGGCCATGGTGTTGGGGGGCTTGAAGTTGTTGGGCCCAAAGGAAAAAGCGAAGAAGTCCGCGGAGCCCCTCACCGCCCGCTTCTCGGCGTCGGAGAAGAGGGGCAGGCTGGACCTCATGGCCTCGGGGTAGTCGCCGTCCCCGTGGACAGGGTTGGCGAACCACCCCAGCACGGAAACCACGGACTGCTGGCACCTGAGTACATCCTCCGTGTTTTCGGATCTGTTCGGTTCGATCCAATGGGACCCCAACGTGATCGATAGCCAGCCCTTCTGATGGGGACGGAAATTCTGGTCGTAGTTCTGCCAGACTTTTGAATGAGCCTGAGAAGAAGAAAATGTGATGAATCTTCACGGGAATCTGACGGGTGGCAAGTCTCCTCGGGGACAAGATGACTGAAACACTGGGGGATGCTCGGGCCATCTGTCCAGGGGTCCTGATGACCTCAGTGTCTGCGTTCTCACTCCACCTGTGTGCCAGCCTGAAGCTTCTCCCGCAGCACTGCTGAAGGGGCAGGCAGATGGGCTCCACCTCTCTGCTTTGTGTTTTAGAAACTGAAGTTTATTTTACATATATATGTATATGTGTGTGTACATATGTGTATATATACATATATATACACCCTGTTTCCCCCAAATAAGACTTACTTATCATTTTGCCTCTCACTGAAATATAAGACACCCCCCTGAAAATAAGACCTCCCTGAAAATAAGGCCCCCCGAAGCTACCGTAACTCTGGACTCTGGACCGTGGTGGCAGGCGCTGCCTCGCAGCTCACTGTTGACCTCAGCGCAGCTGGAGCTGACAGGAAGTGCGAGGTCTCTTTTAATAAAACAATAAACAATAAATGTGTACCGTATTCTTCTTCATGGAAAAGTAAGACATCCTCTGAAAATAAGACCTAGTGCATCTTTGGGAGCAAAAATTAATATAAGACACTGTCTAATTTTTTGGGAAACGGTATATAAAAACCAAAGTCACTGCCCCCGTGGGTTTTGGAGACTAACACTTTACGGGAGTAGGAAGCCCCATCTCTCTCCTGAGGAGCGGCTGGTGGTTTCAAACAGCTGACGGTGCACTCTTAACCACTGTGCACCCGGGGTTCCTTTATTTCATGTGGATCAAAACTGCCTGGAACATGCGAGAAGCACAAAACCCCCTTAGACCAAATCTTACTGGTGTTGCTATGGAAAACAGAGCCCCAGCAGAACCAATCAGCATCCCTGTGGTCTGGGAGGACCTTGATGCAGCATTGTCCTGAGGAACAATTGGAACAATGACTGGTTTACCCTCAAACAGAGCCCCAGCCTGACCCTTGGAGCCTGCGTCCCTAAACTAATCAGTTTTGCGCGTAGATAACATTTCAAAAACCACTCCCTTTCGTGGGCTTTCTGGGGACTGCATGCAGGTGAGAGACTGGGTGGATTATAGGTTTCGTCCCCTACAGAACAAGTCCCAGAGTAATGATCGTTTACTGCTGAACCAACCTCCCTTTGCTTCTCATTTAGAAGGCCAGGGGAATGCAGGCTCTACACCTGTCAATGGATAACGAGAGAGCGCCTCACCCCCTTGGCTTGTTGTGCTGATTGAATGAGGGAATGTAGGTGAAGGCTTTAAGACAGTACCCGGCAGAGTCTGCTTGTTAGAAGCCCTTGTTGTAGTTAGCTGCTGTGGAGCTGGAGGCAGTTGCTCTGATGAGCCGATGGCCCAGTGGACTTAGCTGCCCTGCCTCATGGCAAGCCCGTATACAATGGACCCAAACTTTGCCAGGCCCCGTGTCACCCCCATGAATGCCTGGGGTTTGGACCGTGTGGGCCGCATTATGGTTGAGGCATGGGATGGTTCAATGGTAGATTCTTGCCTTCCATTTGGCAGGGTCTCATCGATTCCTGGCCAATGCACCTGCTAAGGCACTACCAGTCTGGAGCGCTGATGCTAAACAGGGTGCAGTGGAGCCGCTGGACTAAGATGGACTAGGAAGAGAAGCCAGCTGAAAACCTCTGGGTCACAATGGTCTGTTCTGCGAGCCATCAGTGGATGGGACAGACTGGACTGTATTTGTTTCATCGTGTGTGGGGTTGCCATGGATCAGGGCAGGCTCAAGGGCAGTAAATTACATCAACATCATCCCAGAGCAGAGAACAGAGTGTGGGCTTGAGTTTGATGTTCAGGGACTTAACTGTGTGACCTTGGGCCAATCACCTGACCTTTCTGAAATCTCTTAGTTTCCTCAGCTATAAAATGAGGTCACTAATACTAACCTTTGGGAGATTGTCATCAGATTTCAAGCTACTGTGTGGATGGAATGTGTAGCACAGAAGGTGCTGCCTGAAGATGGCTGTCATCCTTATTGCTTCCCCAAGATTTTTCACTTCCTCTGAGGGCCCATAACTGCCTCAAGTGGAAATGCAAATTCTGGACAGACCAATAATAGTAACAGCTAATTTTTTTCAGAGAGCACCTCCTATGTCACAGACAACTCTGTGAACTTGAAATCTGACAGCAATCTCACGGTGGTTGTCAAGTTTGTTTACTAGGTCCGTATTGAGCACTCACTCAGCGTCAGGCTGGCCCTGCGAGGCTGAGCTATGTGGCACGGGACTTGTCCTCAGAGGCCAACCTTAATAAACCACATGAGACAAGAACTAAAAGAAAATTAAAATGACCCTCCCAAGGAGGACGAACAACAGAAAAATGGGTGAAGAGTGACAGAGGACGATGTAAGACATGAACATAATAATCTACAACTTATCAAGGGTTCCTGAGGGAGGGAGGGTGGGGGAGGAAGGGGGAAAACTGAGGAACTGATACCAAGGGCTCAAATAGAAAGAAAACGCTTTGAAAATGATGATGGCAACATGTGTGTAAATGTGCTTGACACATTGGATGGATGGATGGATTGTGATAAGAGATGTAAGAGCCCCCAATAAGAGTTTTAATAAAAAAAGAAAGAAAATGAGAATCAAGTCAGGAGGGTTCCTCAGAGCTCATGAGCTCAGTCCGAAGGCGGGGTGAGCAGTAAGGATGCCCGTTCAGCACATTAAGTCCGTGAAATGCCCAAGGCCTCTTCTCTGGCTTGGGAACCCGCGGGGTGTGTGTGTGTGTGCGTGTGTGTGTGTGTGTGTGTGTGTGTGTGATAGCTACCTCCTTTCCCATCAGCATTTCACTTGACTGCCTCCTAATCTCTCTTCTTAAGGCTCCCGATTACTTATTTGAGTACTTCTACACTAGCAGCTTCAATAAATCAAATGACATGTTACAGTGGGCAAATCTACCGCTGAAGTACGGCCAGGGCACTCCTGAGAGGCAAGCGTGGAGAGACTTGTCTTGCATACTTTGGACATGTTGTCAGGAGAGACTGGTCCCTGGAGAAGGACAGCATGCTTGGTAGAGTGGAGGGGCAGCGAAAGAGAGGAAGGCTCTCAAGGAGATGGACGGGCACCGTGGCTGCATCAATGGACTCAGGCATAGGAACACTGGGCAGTGTTTCGTTCGGTTGTGCAAAGGGTCCCCATGGGCCAGAACCAACTTGGGGGCACCTACCACCACCACCACCAATAACAACAACGGGCGCCGCATAAGACCCCTTCTGGGTGTAAAAGAGCAAATATGTCACTTTGAGGGCTAGGTGCACCTGACCCACCCATGGTCTTTTCAATGGCATCCTATAGGTACATGGGCAGGCTGGACAAGGAATAAAGGAAAAGGGAAAATAAGACCGTCAAGGAGATGGATTGACACAGTGACTGTAATAATGGCTTCTTATTGTTACTGTGCAGTAATAACAACCGTGAGGATGTCCCAGGGCCGGGCAGGGCTTCATTCTGGTGGACATAGGTCAGAACTCTGGCCCGTGGGCGAGACTCTGCTTTATGGGCTCAGCCTCCCTCTCTGGCCAGTCCTGGGTAATCGCAACTCACCAACACTGAGCAATAGATCAGGCACAACAGTCCTTAGCTTGCCTTTCACTCCCCTGAGCTGTTTTACATCCGACGGAGCCATCTGAAATTATCTTTCTGTAAGTCTAAAGCAGTCCAATAGGAGCAATGGTTTGAATCTATGAGCAAACAGATCCCACGGGCACTGAACATGTTCAATAAAGTCTGATTGGGCGGAGAAAGTTAGGCCTTAATACCAGGGACGGTGATTCCCAAACTAGTGCCTCCTTCCCCTTTAGGCAGAAAAAATGGATTTCACTCATTCCAGAAAGATTTTCTGGAGGAGTGAGCTGCCTTGAGGGTACAGCTACTGCTGACTACTTGTACTTGCTTGGTTTTCATAGGAAGATTCTAGAACCACATCGTACCCAATTGTTCCCAAGGATTCTTGGGGATACTTTCCTCTCTGGCCCTCCCCCTGGATTTCAGCCTGAAATGACTGCCCCTGGCAGCCCCAGTCAGGGACTTGTGGGCCAGACTCTGCCTTATGGCTCAGCCTCCGTCTCTGGGCAGTCCTGGATAATCACAATGGAAAGTCTTGATAATGCTTTTCTTCGGATCCCATGAAACAAAGCAGCTGGCATTACTAGAATTGAGAGGAGACATTCTTTCTTTATTCTAATCTGTCATGTAATCCCTGGGTGGCTTCTGGGCGTTGATCTGTATGATGGTCAAGAGTGACTCGGGCTTGTTGTGAATCTCTGATGTGTTAACTGCAGGGAGAGAGCCATCAACTAGCTGTCATCAGGCACTGACAGGAGGGTCTGGTGGAATCAGCACGTTTCTATTCTCACTCTGTCAATGCTGACTCATAGCGACCTCCTGTGGGTTTCCCGGGAGACCACAGATGTTTATGGGAGTAGAAGAAAGCCCAGTCCTTTCCCCGCAGAACTGCTGATTGTTTTGAACTATCAACTTCAGGGATCACAGCCCAACTCATAACCACTACACTATCAGGGATCCAGATGCCCAGTCCGAATCAGAATTGTATAGGGTTGCTATGAGTCAGCATCGAACCAATGGCAGTGACTTTGGCATTTGGTTTTTAATTGGAAATCAGAGGAGCCCAGGTGGCACACTGGTTGGGGGCATGGCTGCTAGCGGTGCCATCGGGAAGACGGAGATTGTGGGGTCCCTGTAGGGCAGGGCACAGACACCCCATTGGGGTTTCTAGGCTGTAATCCTTACAGGAACAGATCACCAAGAACGCTCCTCTCTCGAGGAACAGCTTGTGGGTTCAAACTTCAGACCTTTGTGTTAGCAGCCAGCTGCTTAACCATTCTTTCAGCAGGCCTTCTCCACAATGGGTCACGATGGATCACTGTGAGGAGGAATCGATACCTTGACACGTCTCCACCACCACCTCCTACACCACCTC